GGTTTTTCTCCGGTACCGGGAACCGAACTCACGACCTTGCGCTTGCCAGGCAGGTGCTTTTGCTATTGAGCTAAATCCCCAGCCCCAAGAGTAGAAATTTCATGGCTGGGGATTTAGCTCAGTGGCACAGCGCCTGCCTGGCAAACGCAAGGTCGTGAGTTCAATTCCCGGTACCAGAAAAAAAAAAAAAAAAAAAAGTAGAAATTTCTTGTTAAATGTACAGTGTTAAATTTTCTGTTGATACAAATATTATTATGGTAACAATTTTTAGAATTTTAGATCTTTTCAGAGGATGAATTATGTTCTATTTCCTTTTTGGGGGGGATGGGGGAGGCAATCACTATATATTTTAGGCTGGCTTTGAAGTACTCACAGTGCAGCCTAGGTTGGCCTTGAACTCACAGCAATCTTCCTGCCTCAGCCTCCATGTTGGGATTACTGGCATGCCCTACCATGCTGAACAGGAAACATTAATTTCTTTTAATATGTTTTTCTACCTGGGGATGTGGCTCAATCGTAGTTTGCCTAGTATGTGTAAGGACCAGGATTCAATCCTCAGTACTTTGAAAATTAATTAAATAAATAAGTTAATTAAAAAACCCAGAACTTAGAACCAGGCTTAATGCTAAAACTTAGATTTCACCGAAAGTTTATTTTTAAAAAAAGTTTTTGTGGGTTTTAGTATACTTACCATATTTTCATTTCAATAAATGTTAATTGGACAATAATTTATTTTAATATATCTGAATTTTTTTCTGATAATTCAAGTTTGTATATGTGCTGCTGAAGCGAGCACTTGATAATTCAACTTTGGTTTTCAAATAAAAGTTTGAAAGAAGTTACCTTTTTTTTTGTTGTTGTTTTTTTCCAGTACCAGGAATCGAACTCACGACCTTGCACTTGCCAGGCAGGTGTTGTGCCGCTGAGCTAAATCCCCAGCCCCAACCATTGTTTTTATTAAAGTAATGGACAAAATTTTTGTAGATAAGCTTTATCTATATCATTACTATACTATGTGATTAGAATTCAGGGGGCTGGGGATATAGCTCAGTGGCATAAGAGCCTGCCTGGCAAGCACAAGGTTGTCAGTTCGATCCCCAGTACCACGAAAAAAAAAAAAAAAAAGAATTCAGATGAGGAAATGGACATATTTTTAAGCTAGTTGAGGATACTGTTTTAAGTTTCACGTCCATGTGCCTTTTAGAGACTAATTTTGATATTATTTTATTAGGTACCTATTATATGTTGCTTCTTACAAATAGTGGATTTTTTTACGTTACAAACCTTCAGCTTATACAAATTCAGCAAGGTAAGTAATATATCATTTTCTTAATGATTTGCAGCAATAGTTGTTAGTTTTTCAGGTAAATTTTCAAATACTCTCCTTAAGAATATTTTAGTTTAATTGTATACTATGATAACTTGGTATATATTCAAGTCTTTGGAGTGTGCTTACTTCCTCTGATAGAGTTTCAGTGCAATTTCAAGAAATGTCATTTGGTTACAGCTTCAAGGAGTTCGGAGCTTAGTTGAGATGAAAAGACATATGCCAGGGCAATAATGAAAGCTTTCTGGTGGAGCGAATGAACCTGGAAATGGAAATGACCATATAGGTGTTGATGGTGCAGAGCCATAGTCCAGAATGTGCTCAGTGAGCGGTGTGGGCCATCTATCGTCTCAGCCAATAAGACTGAAGAATTGAATCAGAACATGTATTTAATAAGTGTTCCATTTTATTTTATTGTTCTGGATTTTTGAGACACTGTCTGCCTGTATGGTTCAGGCTGACCAACTTACTGTGTAGCCTAGGGTGGCCTCAGACTTGCAGTGATCCTTCTGCCTCAGCCTCCCAAGTGCTGTATTATGGGTGTGTTCCACCATGCCTGGCACAGTAAGTGTTTTAAAGCATCTATGCCAAGTCTGTGCTAGGTTCTGGTTATATGAGGAGACTTCAGATCCATAGTTGTCTGGGGTTTTGTCAGAAGCTAGATGAGTAAGTAAAGGAGCTGTTCCAAAACGGTGAGAAGTGATGAAACTTCACAAGACTTGAGGGCTTGAATAAGAGTAGCAGAGGTGGGGTGAGAAGACTCTGGTAGGGGGAAGCATGGCCAGGGGAGGTGCACAGAGGCTTTGTGGTGATGCTGTCAGCTTGGCCGGTGCCCTGGATACAACATGTCCTCAGAGGTCATAGCGTTAGTCAGTGCGGAGTTGAAAAGTCAGCACTGAGTTGTTTCTTCTGTCCTGTGTTTGTTGAGCTAAAATGCATTAATTTCACTTTGAAAGAAAAAGAGTGACTTGAATTGTTTCTTAGATTGATACCATAAATTTAACCTGCTTTCTTTTTTAATGCAGCAATTGAGAATGTAGATTTGGATACAGCCAAAAAAGTAAGAAAACAAAACTATATTATTGTCTTTCAACTTAATTTTTTTTTTTTTTTTTTTTGTCTTTTGAGATAAGGTCTCACTATGTGGTTCAGGCTGGCCTTGAGCTCACTTTGTAGCCCAGGCTGGTCTCGAACTTGATCCTCCTGCCTCAGCCTCCTGAGTGTTGGTATTACAGTCATGTACTGCCATGCCCAGCTCAGTTTAAATTTAGTATAAATGTAGAATGTTTCTATATATAATTGACCTAATAGTTGATATTTTAAGAATTACTGTGACAGAACACTTTAATAACTTATTTAACAGCATGTTTATGGCTGATTGATATAAGCTGATTCTTTATGCTTTTTTGTGAGTATATAAATATATTCTAATTTTTTTAATTTTGCAGTTACAGCGACAGATCAGTTCCAGTTTTATTTCTACTGAAAATTATCATACTCTTGGTTGTCTCAGTCTTGTGGCTGGAGATTTAGCAAGTGAAACTCCTGTGATAATTGGGGTAATTCTTTCTGTAAAGGTTTTTTTTTTTTAACCCAAAGTGTTTCTTTGATAGATGTTATCTTTTTTTAGTTAAATTTCAAATTAGTTTGTAACACGTAACAAAAAAGAAATTATAAAATTAGGTTAATAAAATTAATTATTAAAATACGAAAGTTTCTATCTTAGAAAAATACTGCATCTTTATTTTCATTAGCTTCTCCCTGAAATTTTAGCATTTCTTTCAGTTCTGATTATAGATAAAAACAATAAAAACAAAACTAAAAAATTCCAGTTACAGTAGCGCCTGGGAGTTTGTCACTGAATAGAAGACAGAGATTTATTTATTTGTTTTTTCACAATGCTGGGAATTGAACCCAGGGCCTAGGCGAGTGTTCTTCCATTAAGCTAAACTCCCAGCCTGAAGTCGCAGATTTTTTTTAAAAATCACATTATTTTTTAAAAAATCACATTACTGCAGCTGTCTTGATTACACATCAGTACTTTAAAGTCATAGTGGCTGTAGAATGTCTATCTGAAGGTACATTTACTTTTTTTTTTTTTTTTTTTTTGGGGGGGGGCCGGGTCTTGCTCCGTAGTTCAGGCTGGCCTTGAGCTCACTTTGTAACCCAGGCTCGTCTCAAACTTGCAACAGTCCTCCTGCCTCAGCCTCCCTAGTGCTAGGATTACAGGTGTGCACCACTGTAATGTAAAAGTACATTTACTTTTGGTGACAAACTCAAAAATTTCTGTAGCCTACTGTTTTATTTTGGTTTTTGCTTATGTTTGAAAATAAAAGAGTGAGCAACTTTGTTGAAGATAATAATATAACAACCACTGTTAATTTCTATCATTTTGTTTTAAAGCCCTCAATCATTTTCATCGTTTTTGTGTTTTGTTTTTTTTTCTGTTATTTTGTTATTTTTTTTATTCTCTTTAAAAGAAAAAAAGAAAAAAAAAGAAAGTAAAAGAAATGCTAAACTTCAGGTGATTACTGAAAATGAATATGTAAATTTTTTTCCTCTCCCTGAATTACAAATCCCTGCAATCTTGCAATTGCAATAAGCCAAGTTGAAAACCTCTGTTTTAGAAAATGGTCCTGGACAATAAAAAGTCTTTTAATACTTACCTTGTAAGCGATCCTACTTTGTTCTCAGACTTGCCTGGCCAACCGACTTACAAAAACTTGTGACTAGTAAAATGAGAAAGTGGGCAAACTGCTGGGAGAGGTCTTAAAGTTCATCCTGTGCCTTTTTAAGGCAAGATCCCTGAATGTGCCTACTCCTTATTAAACGTTATTCATGTAATAACAATGAGTGTCAGCGTTCAGTTCTTCCTATTCTCCTGAAACTAAGAGGAACTGGGAGATAAAAGCTAGTTGGGCTTGACTATGTAAATACATTTAATTTTATTGATTTATTTATTGGGGGGAATTATCGGAAATCAAACTCAGGACCTCTCGCTTCTCAGACAGGTGCTGCATTGCTATATCCCTGACTCCTTTAAATACATTTTAAAATGAGTAATATACAGAATTTCCATATTTTTACTTTGAGAACTGTCCAGATCTTAGAACCAAATTTACAACTCTTGTACTGTTTTTGCTTTTAGGGAACTGGTAATTGTGTCTTCTCAAAATGGGAACCAGACTCTTCCAAAAAAGAAATGACAGTTAAGAACCTTATTGATGCAGAAATTATTAAAGGTAAAATAAGTTAATGAAACCATTTTCTGTAATTTCTTTTGTTGTTGTTCTGGGAATTGAACTCAGGACCTTGCGCTTGCCAGTCATGCGCTTATGCTGCTGAGCTATCTCACCAGCCCTCTGTAATTATTATTATTATTATTATTGTTTGTTTGTTTTTTGGTCTTTTTGAGACAGAGTCTCGCTATGCAGTCCAGGCTGGCCTTGAGCTCACTTTATAGCCCAGGCTGGCCTCAAACTTGCAAAGATCCTCCTGCCTCACCCTCCTGAGTGCTGGGATTACAGGCGTGAGCCGCCACTCCCAGCCCCTCTGTAATTATTAACAAGTTGTAATTTTCATGTTAATATACTTGAGCTAGAGTATGGGTTTTTTACCAAATTATCTTTGATTAGCCAGATTGGTTTGATTATTGTCCATAACATGACTGTTCTTGACATGTTGCAGTTCCTACTTTGTTTTGGGAGAGTTTATATTTTATTATTTTTTTTTTTTTTTTTTTTTTTTTTTGTCATGTTGAGACAGGGTCTTACTATGTAGCTCAGGTTGGCCTTGAGCTCACTTTGTAGGCCAAGCTGGCCTGGAACTCGCCACAATCCTCCTGCCTCAGCCTCCCGAGTGCTGGGATTACAGGCCCCTATGCTCAGCGAAAGTTTTTATTTTAGTGGTCATGTAAAAATGTTAGAAGCAAGTACAAGGTCGTGAGTTCGGTTCCCGGTACCGGAGAAAAACCAAAAAAAAAAAAAAAAAAAAAAAAAGTTAGAAGCAGGAATAAATGAAAATGGGAACATTTAATTTAGATGTTCTGGGAGTCCCATAATGCAGAGTGACAGCTGCAGGCATTTGGTTAGCCAAATGGATGTACAGGTGATGGCCTGAGATAGCACTGCCAAGCTAGGAACCGTGGAGATGGCTGAAGTGACCCCCAAACTATACATGGATTCTCACTTCAGTGGTACAGAGGTTCCTACACCATGTGCAAGATAACTTTCACATCATATCTGACTGGATCACTGGAAGAACTGACACATGCAGAGAGAGTCACACTGATGATCTGGGGAAAAACATCACTCTGTGGGGCAGGCCAGGGTGGAAGGCCTAGAAGGAGAAAACAAGACACTCACCACGCAGAGGAGTTGAGGTTGCTGATAATTTATACTGACATCTGGAAAACCATTTTCTCAAGCCAAGAGACAACTGAATGACTTTTTGCAAAATACTATGTGTAGACAGATTTATATTGTAAAGTGTGTGTTTTGCGGGGGGACTTGTTCAGTTGCTTTCTTAACTTTTTTTGTTTTGTTTTGTATGACAGGGTCTTGCTATTTAGTTCAGGCTCAGCTTGAGCTCATTATGTACCTCACCAGGGTGTCCTGGAATTTAAGGAGATGTATCTGCCTCAGCTTCCTGAGTGCTGGAATTAACAGCATATGCCACCATGCCCAGCTAGTGTTCTTAATTTTTTTTTTTCTTTTAGTGTTCTTAATTATTGAACACTAAAGCTTTTCAGTTTCTGCATATTATTGTCAGATATTTTTGTGAAGTCATTTTTATCTGCTCCTTCTTTTGTACTGTTTGCGCTTTGATAAAAGTTAGTATATAATTTTGTTAGATAAATGGTAAATTCTTCAGTTATTGTTTAAAAAGTAAATGTAGTTCTGCCTTTCCATAAATGTCTTTAATTTTAATATGGCTGTCTGTAACATGGAAATAAAAGGCTTAGACATCTTGCTTTCTGTTTTGTAGGTGCAGTGAAGTTCCAGCTGATAGACAATCTGCTTTTTGTTCTTGATACTGACGTATGTTTCTGATATTTCTCTGTCAGTGTTTTTACTTAATATTACGTTGTTTGTTTGTTTGTGATGCTGGGAATGGAACCCAGGTGCTCTATCCCTGATTTATATCTCTAGCTCGGATATTATGTTGTTAAGTTGTTAAACTTTCAAGGACAAGGACTTTAGCTGGAATAGATTACTGTCTTTTGTACTGGGCTTTTTTTCAGTATATATATCAAAAAATATACTCTGAAATGTAAATTCATAACCATTAGGATGTGTAAATGAAATCTGTCTTTTGCAGAATGTGCTGAGTTTGTGGGATATTCACACTCTCACTCCCATATGGAACTGGCCCTATCTTCACATAGAGGAATTCCTTCTTACCACGGAAGCAGATTCTCCTTCATCAGTTACCTGGTGGGTTATAACGCTAGCTAAGACAGTTTCCCCTCTCTTAACAACAGGTTTTGTCCAGATCATTTATTATGTTTTGTGTTCTAAACCACACTGAAATAGTCTGACGGAGTAGGACTGATTGGCTGTTTACTTTTTTTGATGGGGAAAAAAAAAGGCAATATGAACCTTCAAGAGTTGTATGAGATGAGAGTATCAACCTGGGGGGCTGGGGAGTTAGCTCAGTGGTACAGCGCCTGCCTAGTAAGCACGAGGTCGTGAGTTCAATTCCTGGTACTGGAAAAAAACCAAAAAAAAAAAAGAGTATCAACCTGGGCCATAAACCTGAGAGATAAACTCCAGTGTCCTCTTTTTTTTTTTTTTTTTTTTTTTGAGACAGGGTCTCACTGTGCAGTTCAGGCTCTCTTTGAACTCACTGTGTAGCCCATGCGCTGAGATCCTCCTGCCTCAGCCTCCCAAGTGCTGGTATTACAGGCTTGGGCCAACACGCCCAGCACCAGTGTCCTCTCAAGTCCATTTTAACTTTTGTGCAGGAAATCACATTAACACGGCTTACGTCTAGGGGGCAGGAAAGCTTGTTTGGTTTACTTGCAGCTTCTTTTCTCTTTTAGGCAAGGGATTACGAATCTCAAGTTAGTAGCTCTGACAACTACAGCTAATAAGAAGGTACTGTAAAATTTGACTTCCTGTCCGTATTATGTACTGAGAATAGCATTTAGGAACACAAAAGTAGATATTAAGTAGTGCTCACAGTATATTAGTTCTTAGCGTTCACACACAGTTGACATACTAAAAATGATCTTGCAGAATTCTTTTGCTGTTTCAAAGAAAGGATATAAATCTTGGCTGCAAATTTTTAAACAGCATTTTAGGAACAAAAACAGTTCCTAAGAAAGTGTTGATTAGGGTGGTTCTTGTAAATTTCTGGGAGTGGGGAATTACTTTCACCTTAAATACAAACTGTGGAGTAGACCTGTATATGTAAATTTTCATGCAATAGATGTAGAAGGTACAATAAAACACAAATTTATCTATATTTAAGTAATACAGTAAAAAGCATGCCTGTAAAAGATTTTTTTGCATTTAGCTTTGGATAGGAATGTTTTGAATATGTACGTAGTTGTGATTGTAAAGTGCTGTCTTACGAGTATAGGTTTATATTAACCTACTAAGTGAATGGCTTTTCTATTTCTTTTAGATGAAAAACCTTGTGGTTTATGTATTACCTACAATGGAAATACTATATTCTTTGGAAGTATCTAGAGTTTCATCTTTGGTTCAAACGGGAGTTAGCACGGTAAGTTTATGCATATTTTAAACTACTTTAATACTTAAGCTATGTATGAATGGAACCTTGTGGGACACCTGGGTAGCTCTCAGGTGTGTCCCTGCATTCATTTTGTTTTCTGTCTTTTTGAGGCAGGGTCTTGCTATGCAGTTCAGGCTGGCCTTGAGCTCACTTTGTAGCCTAGGCTGGCCTCAAACTCACAACAGTCCTTCTGCCTCAGTCTCCAGAGTGCTGGGATTACAGGCGTGCGCCACCACGCCCAGCCCCTGCATTCATTATTGACAGAATTCCTCAAATACACCAACGCCAATCTTAATACAAAAAAAAAGAAAAAAAACTAGGCGTGGTGGTACAGGCCTATACCCTCAGCACTTGGGAGGCTGAGTCAGAGAGATTACTGTGGGTTTGATGCCAGTCTGGGTTATGTAGTGAATTCAAGACTAGCCTCCTGAGTTACATAGTGAGACCTTGTCTCAAAGAAAAGAAAAAAAAAAGAGCAATAAAGAAAGAAAAGAGCCAGGCATGGTGGCATTCCTGTAATCCCAGCACTCGGGAGGCTGAGGCAGGAGGATCCTTGTGAGTTCGAGACCAGCCTGGGCTACAAGGTGAGCTCAAGGCCAGCCTGAACTGCATAGTGAGACCCTGTCTTAAAAAGGCCAAAAAAAAAAAAAGAAAGAAAATTAATTAAATAAAACATTAGTCATCTGCTCAACTTTCTTAAATATCTTCAGGAAGTATAATAATTAACTTTTAAGGATTGTACATTTGTTTTTAAGTGTTATTTTAGTTGTTTAAATTCACGGGGTACACTGATAATTCAGTACATGAGTTTGTTTGTTTTTTTTTTTTTTTTTTTTTGGTTTTTTCTCCGGTACCGGGAACCGAACTCACGGCCTTGCACTTGCCAGGCAGGTGCTTTTGCCGCTGAGCTAAGTCCCCAGCCCCTCAGTACATGAGTAAAGTGTGTAATGATTAAGTGAAAGCAGTTAACATTTCCATCTCCTTAAATGGTTAAAAGTTTTTGGACTAACATGTAATAATTGTGTATAATATCTTGGCATGATGTTTTTATTTCTTTTATATTGGTATCTTTTTAAAAGACATTTTACTGTATTTTTTTAAATATATGTACACACACACCTACCTGTATACACATGCTCTATTATTCCACACCATTTAGAAATTATTTGTAGATTTCCTGATTTCCTGATCTGACACCTCTAAATGTTTAAGCAAATGTGTGGTTTTTTTGGTCTTTTTTTTTTTTTTAAATTCCAGTGGCACAGAGCCTAGATCCAGCCACCTCCAAAAAACCCCACCTGTGGTCACATGAGGCTTTGGGGGGTCATCCATACACAAGCCATAATAGTGTATCACATTAAGGGTCTCACTGTATCCATTTGTCCTATTATTGATGATGTTAATTTGATTGAGCCCACCCCAGTGGCATGTGCCTGTGATCCCAACCTCTTGGAGGCTGAAGCAAGTTCCAGGCCAGTTTGGGCAACTTAAAATCTTGTCTCAGGGCTGGGGATTTAGCTCAGCAGTAAAGCGCCTGCCTGGCAAGCACAAGGTCGTGAGTTCAGTTCCTGGTACTGGAGAAAAAATTAAAAAAACCCAAAAAACCAAAAAAACCTTGTCTCAGAATAAAGGAAAAAAGACTAGGGATATAGCTTACTACTTTGTGGGTTCAGTCCCAGTACTAGGAAAGAAAAAAAAAGGAAAAATTTGACCATTTGGATTGGTTTTAAAATCCATTGATGAATACTTCTTTTTGTCCTTTTTTGAGACAGAGTCTCGCTGTGCAGTTCAGGCTGGCCTTGAGCTCACTTTGTAGCCCAGGCTGGCCTCAAACTTGCAACGATCCTCCTGCCTCAGCCTCCTGAGTGCTGATGAATAATTCTTGATTGAATTGATTGAACCATTTGTTACTCTAGTGATTATAAAATAAATTGCTTTTATATCTGAGCTTAAATGATATTTTTGTTACATTTACAGGATACCATTTACCTTCTGGAAGGAATTTACAAAAGTGATCCAGAGTAGGTCATGTTTTGTTTTATCCGATAAATACCAGATAAGTTGCTAAATAACAGCTTATCTCACTTAAAATTGACTCATTAATGTGAAACGACAAGTACACTTACAACGCAGTCTTCTTTCAGATTCTCTGAGGACTCCGTCTCAGTGTTAGTGCTCAGGTATCTTACGGAAGCTTTACCAGAAAACAGGTAATTTTCTCGCATTCTTTACTCTTTACCTCTTAATGAAAAGCTTAAATTCCCTGGTTAATAAGCATTTAATGAAATTTCTTTCCCATTTACCAGACTGAGTCGGTTACTTCACAAACACAGATTTGCAGAAGCCGAGACCTTTGCCATTCAGTTTGGGCTCGATGTTGAGGTAAGCGTGCGTGTGTCTGCTTGTCCCCGACACAGGCGTTTCTTGGTGTACTTGAGGCTGAGGAGACGTGGCAGAGTAGGAAGGCCTTGGATTCTTCCTGGAACTCCTAGTCGTTCGGGCCAGACTGGGGTTCTTTCTACGTGCAAGGGAATGAAAGGAGGTGAACAGGGCCAGAGCCTAGAGGGCCTCACATACCACCTATGAGGTTTCATCTCATAGGTGATGGGGAAGGAATTTTAAGCCTCAAAATATCCTGGGCGGGCAGTTTGGAAAGACGGAGAGTTGTCTGGGAAAAGCTCAACCAGAAAGTTCAACTGTGAGTTCGGAGCTGAAGCAGTTTTCCCTGGGAGAGCGGAATCAAGTGCTGTGCAGTGGAGAGGAACGAGAGAGGGAGAGCGAGAGGGGCTGATGGAGGTACAGCACAGTAGAATCGGCAGGCGCAGCGGTCAAGTACAGGAAGGACAGAAGGGGGAAGTGGGCTGGCAGGACTCCGGCTCTGTCTACACGTTGGGTGGTGGCAGCATTGCCTGAAGTGAGGAATGTTGGGCCGGGATGTAGCTCAGCAGCACAAGCGCCTGCCTGGCAAGGGTCCTTAGTGTGATTACCAGTACCCCCCCAAAAAAACCCTAAGTAATAAAATGAAGAATGCGCGTGCAAGCGCAGATTCAGATAATGAGATCTAGAGTTCTGCTTTAAAAACGCTGGCTGTGAGGAGCCCGGTGAACCAGCAGGGTCTGCTAGGAAACCAGGGGTGACCGGAGCTGACTGGGTGTGGGGAAGCCCAGAGGAGAGCTCAGTGCCTGGGAGAACGCAGAGCAGAACATGTGGAGAGGAGCGGGATCTGGGCAGGCGACCCTGGGCACTGGCAGGTGAGGGACAGAGAGCAAAGGATCCACGTATGTGGGGAGAAAGAAAGGAAGGAAACCGCAGGCATGCACCATTTCAGAACCACAGAGAGACATTTTAAGCTTGGTGGGGAGTGATCATCAGTTGCAGATGCTACAGAGAAGGTCAGATACCAGAGCTGAAGGTCGACTGATTAGGAGGTCACTGAACCCCTCGAAAAGCGTGTTTCCTGAGGAGGAATGGAACCAGCTTGATTGTAGTTCATTAAAGAATTAATTTGTACCAGATGGGTAGTTGGTGCCCATGTGGTGGTTGTTTTAAAAATGTAGCATTTTACAATCTGGAATAATTCTGTGTATGAGTAAAAGAGTCAATAAATTAAAGAAGTAGTAAGTATTAAGCAGGGCTGGGCATGGGCACATCTGTAATCCCAGCACTCAGGAGGATGAGGCAGGAGATTGCTGCAAATTTGAGGTCAGCCTGAACTGCATAGTGAAACCTTGTCTCAGACAAAGAAAAAAAAGTACTAAGAGCAGAATAATAGACACTTCCGGTTAGGATAAGGAGGATGGTATATTCGTGAAGAAGAGAGTGGGTTTTAGCTGCTGTATTGGGATGACACCCTATTTCTTTTTTTTTTTTTTTTTTGGAGACAAGGTCTCGCTTTGTAGCACATGCTGCCCTTGAATTCCCTTTGCAGCAATCCTTCTGCCTCAGCCTCCTGCCTGAGTGCTGGGATTGGGGACATGCGCTACTATACATCCTGAATCACATGAGAAATCTTTTTTCATAATAGTGTGTGTGACACAACTTGCTGTGTAAGTAGGTCATCCTGAGTTATTCACATACTTCAAATCAATTGATGTGGCATGTTTATATTACAGCTTGTGTACAAGGTAAAAGCAAATGACATATTGGAAAAACTAGCTTTGAGTTCTGTGGACACCAGCGAGCAGACCAAATGGCAGCACCTTGTAGATGAAGCAAAGGAAACTCTGCATAAAATCCAGGTATGTGTTCCCAGCCACTTAGGAGAGTATTACCAGCACTGCAGTGTTACGTTGCTCAGTGTTGGGTTGCCTTACTGTGTCTGGCATTTGTGAAACAGGATGATGAGTTTGTGGTGAAGTACTGCCTAGAGGCCCAGTGGATAACCTATGAAACTACCCAGGAGATGCTCAGCTATGCTAGAACCAGGGTAAGTTGATCAGTTTTTTTTCTTTCTTGCTTTCTTAAGAGAGTTTGTTTTAATCATTCATCATTCTGCCACCTCAAATACTTTTTTTTGGTCCTTCCATTTTCCCATATCTGTGTACCAATTTCTTAAAAATAGAACTTTTTTATTTGGTATTTTGAGACAAGGTCTTGCTATATAGTTCAGGGTGGCCTTGAACTCACAGTGTAGCCCAAGCTGGCCTCAAACTCACAGTGACCCTCCTGCCTCAGCCTCTCAAGTGCTGGGATTACAGGCGTGCACCACCACACTCAGCCTTTTTTTTTTTCCTGCGGCACAGGGAACTGATCTTAGGGCTTTTCCCTAGCCCATTTTTATTTTGAAACAAAGTCTTGCTAAGTTGCCCGGGCTGGGCTTGAACTTGTGATCTTCTGCCTCACTTTCCCAGAGTGCTGGGATTACATGTATATGGTGCCATGCCTGGCCTAAAGGAAAAAAAGAGCTTTTTAAAATTATAGCTTTATCGAGATAACTAACATCATGCAATTCACCAATTTAATGTTTAATGTTTGTTAGTATATTTACTGAATTTTTTTGTTGTTGTTGTTTGTTTGTTTTGAGACAGGGTCTTGCTGTGTAGTTCAGGCTGGCCTCAGACTCATGATGTAGCCCAAGCTGGCCTCAAACTCAGTGAGCCTCCTGCCTCAGCCTCCCAAGTACTGGGATTACAGGTGTGCTCCATCACACCCTGGCATTTACTGAATTTGCGTAGCCATTACCTCCATCAATTTTAGGTCATTTTCGTTGGCCCCGAAGCAAACCCTAAAGTGTTAACAGTGGTTCTTAGTTTCCCCCATTCCAGCTGCAGCAGCCACTAAGCTATTTCATGTCTCTTTTCGGTGTGCCTCCGGACATTACAGATCTGTAAATGGAATCATATGCCATGTGCGTTTATGTCTGACTTCTTTCACCTAGCATGTCGTCAGGGTCTGTCTGGCTGAAGCATGTGTCAGTGCTGTATTTCTTTGCCTTGCTGAATAATATTCACTGCATATGGGCCGACCCTGTTTTGCTTATTCATTCACCCTCTGATGGGCACTTGAGTTCCGTCTTTTTGCTATTGTGAGAATAAAGTTGCCATAAATGTGGTTGTACGAATGTCTGTTCAGGTCCCTGCTTTCAGTCCCTTTGAGCACCTGCCCAGGAGCCGGATTGCTGGCTTGTGTGCTGACTCCACGCTTGAGTTTTGTGGAGCTGCTGAGCTGTCTGAGCTGCGTCATCTCACATTCCCACAGCAGTGCGCAGGCCTCCACTTTCCCAAACCCTTTCCAACTCTTTCTGTTCTCTGTTCTGTGACATTAGCCATCCTAACGGGTATGACATGGAAGGTACGTTTTCATAGTGTTTGTGCATGTGTGTATTATGCAAAAAGAATATTTAAAAACGGAATCTTTTTCTCTTGTAGATTTTTTTTTTTGTTTTTTTTTTCCGGTACCAGGAACCGAACTCACGACCTTGTGCTTGCCAGGCAGGCGCTTTGCCGCTGAGCTAAATCCCCAGCCCCTCTCTTGTAGATTTTTTTTAAGGCGGGGATTTCACTGTGCAGTTCAGGCTGGCCTTGAACTTACCGTGGAGCCCAGGCTGGCCTTGAACTCATGGTCATGGCTATCCTCCTGTCTTAACCTCCTGAGTACTGGGATTACAGGTGTTCACTACCATGCCCGACTTCTTGTAGATCTTATTTAATATGTACTTTCTGCTGTTGCTAATAATGGCACTTTTGTAGTAAAGTGTTCCCCTCAAGTGTCCTGACTACAACTGCTGGTTATAGTCCATAAAGTCAAGGTATCACATGGGCAAAAAATTATGAGCTGTTTTGATATAATGCATTTTTTTAAAAAAAATGTAATTTCTTTATTATTTACTCTTCATTTCGGAATTAGGGGCAATTTATTTTCAAAGGTAATGTTTTCTATGAATTCACAGAAAGTCCGTCCTTTTTTATGAAAAACCTAACATAGCAGATGTTTTATTTTCATCCTTAGCTTTTGAAGAAAGAAGACAAAACTGTTCCTCTCTATTCTGATGGCTTGATAGAGGTAATTACATTAAGTGATAGATTAATATGGGGGTGGATGAGCCTTCACAGTTGTTTTCCTTTCAATATAGGCTTGCCTTTCTTCAAGAGCAAGTTGCCATTTTAGTATCTCAGCTTACTTATTTCCAAAATGGGACTGTTAAAAAAACAAACAAACCAAAAAAACCCAAAATGGAACTATTAATAGTATCTTACTGGTAGGGTCACTCTGAGGTCGTAGGAAATAACTCCTAAGAACCGTTTTGCATAGATCCTGATACCTGCTGAATACTGAAATGAACATAAACTGTAATGGTAATCATGGTAGTGCCCAAATACACGGGCGCATGTGTAAGAGCATTATATATGTAAATTCTCAAAGTTAATTTTGGTATAATTCAGCTGTTTTTCATGGCTTTTTTTTTTTTTTTTTTT